ATTTGTTTTTGATGCTCAAGACAAAAGAATGACTTTATTTATCAATGTTACTTATGTGATTTAGACTCGCATGAAGTTTTCTTTAAATTAGTTATTACTATATAAACATTGCCTTTTTGTTTTACTTATTTTCTATTTCTCAATATTTCAGTATTTTAGACGAAGAAATGTTGATATGACTTGTAATAAGGCCAATTGAAGTTTGTATTAGTTTAATTTTTATTAATTATTTAGTAGCTAATTTTATGAGATAAATACTTTCATTAATGCAAATATATATTTATATTTGGGTAGGTATTTGTATTTAAATTAAAGTATTATATATGTCACAAATGTACTATCAAGTTAACAAGATCTTCTAATTTGAAAATATATTATTTTATAATATTTCGAGTACTTTTTTTTATAAAAAAAACTCACAGCAAATGTGAAAATATGTGAATATATAAAATGTAGTTGTTCTCTTCACATGTTCATATGACATCTAAACAATTTAACGTAGAATACACATGCAAAGCACATTTGGTTAGATGACAAGAAAAATACAAAACAAATATTGTCTGTAAGGTAATATTAGTGAGATAAGACTAATTTCATGGTTGAGCCTAATCAAACTGAAATAAATATATATATAACTGCATTTAACTAATGAAAATTTTCATTCATGATCTTTCACATAAGACACAATTTTTTTTTTGTTCAAACTACCCTTTGTTGACTATAAATAGAGGGACTTCCTTTCATTTTTCAACCACAAATATTTCTAATCTTCTACTCTTCTTCTTCTTGCATTTTAATTTTTTTTGTGTAATTTATTGTTGTTTGAGTGAGTTCAAAGTTTAGCGGAATATGAGGTACCACTATCCGTATGAAGTAAGTCGTTCTATCCTAAGAGGGTATATTTCATAACCTCGGGTACTTGGGGAAAATAATATAATTTTGATGATATAATAATTATTTTTTGCTTAATATAAACATTAGTGTGTAATGTTCCAATATATGAAGTTAACATGATGTAGTCTAAATACATTTGTTTTTGTTAACAATTTCTCTTGTGATGTAGATATATGCTTCTGAAAATTATTTTTCAAAATTTAGAGAATTGTCACGATTCGTTGTTGATGCTCAAGACAAAAGAATGACTTTATTTATCAATGTTAATTATGTGATTTAGACTCCCAGGAAGTTTTGCTTCAAAATAGTTATTACTATATAAACATTGCCTTTTTGTTTTACTTATTTTCTATTTCTTAATATTTCAGTATTTTAGACGAAGAAATGTTGATATGACTTGTAATAATGCCGATTGAAGTTTGTATTAGTTTAGTTTTTATTATTTTTTTAGTAGCTAATTTTATGAGATAAATATTTTCATTAAAATATCGAGTACTTTTTTTTTATAAAAAAAACTCACAGCAAATGTGAAAAATATGTGAATATATAAAATGTAGTTGTTCTCTTCACATGTTCATATGACATCTAAACAATTTAACGTAGAATACACATGCAAA